CCGGTAAATGTGTGTACTTACATGTGCTGGGTTCTCCCTCGCTTTTGGTGGGTAACATGTCGTTTAGCACAAGAAGTCACTTTCCTTCCCACCCACCCCCCTTTTTATCATTATTATTATTATTATTATTATTGATTTCAGAGAGAGGAAGGGAGATGGATAGAAACATCCATGATGAGAGAGGATCATGGATCGACTGCCTTCTGCATGCCCCTCTACTGGGGATCACACCCGAAGCCTGGGCATGTGCCCTGACCTGGAATCAAACCCTTTCCTCCTCGGTTCAAAGGTCGATGCTCAACCACTGAGCCACACCGCCTGGGCTATGTAATATTTGTTATGAAAGACTATGCGCTTAGAAGGGAGAATTTAGTTTTATGAGAATCACTCTGTTATGGTGGTGCTGCCATCTTCTGGACGTCCTGCCCTCCCCGTAGGCTGGCCCCCTTAGTGTGGGTGTGGAGCGGAAAGCTGGAGCTGGCCTGGGGAGTAGGGGAGGAGTGTGAAGGCAGCTTGGTGTGGTCCCCTAATGGGGATCAAGCCCGCAACTGGGGCATGTGCCCTGACCGGGAATCGAACCGTGACCTCCTGGGTTCATAGGTCAGTGCTCAACCACTGAGCCACCCTGGCCGGGCTCAATGCTGTTTTCTAAGCTACGGAGCTGTTTTATCGGGTCATAGAGCTGGCTGTTGGCAGAGCCCTGCTGTCATTGCAGCTGTCACACTGGCTCCAGCTTTGCTTTTTCCAGTCCCTCCTTGCTAACCATCATGTCCCGTAACCTTAGGAAATGGTGTGTGTGTGTGTGTGTTTTAAATCGGTGCTCTAAGAGAATAGCTTCTGTCTGGCCTCTCGCAGAAAGCACCGATATCCCGCCCTACGTGATGAAGTGCCCGAGCAACGGCTTGTGCAGCAGGCTCCCCGCCGACTGCATGGAGTGCAGGACGAACTTCTCCTGTGTCTACGGGAAGCCTGTCACCTTTGACTGCACAGTCAAGCCTTCTGTGACCTGTGTTGTAAGTGCTGCCACCGACCTGTTCTAAATAAACTCGCTGTAAACCGGGAGCTCCCGGGGGAGGTTAGACCGGAGGGCGGGATAAGTTCTGAAAGAAAGTGCTCTGCGTCGTGTATGTAATATTTTAGGACGAAAGCCAGCTTGGACAAAAAACTGGAGCCTCCAGGTCAGGTTTGGTTACATGGGTTCAGATGGCAGTTTTTTTTAATCTATGTATTTTTTTTTTATTGATTTCAGAGAGGAAGGCAGACAGAGACATGTCAATGATGCGAGAGAACCATTGATTGGCTGTCTCCTGCATGCCCCCCACTGGGGATGTGCCCTGACCGGGGATCAAACCGTGACCTCCTGGTTCATAGGTTGATCGCTCAACCCCTGAGCGACGCCATCTGGTCTGTTTAAAGGCTTTTAGAGTCATGTGTGTGATTGTCTGGCACATCGTAGGTACTTAGTGAAAATGGACAAACTTTGCTGTGGAAGGGAACCTTTCCAGAATTCATTTTCTTTGTTGCTTGTTTTGTTTTTTCTTTTAATATATTTTATTGATTTTTTTTTTTTTACAGAGAGGAAGGGAGAGGGATAGAGAGTTAGAAACATCGATGAGAGAGAAACATTGATCAGCGGCCTTTTGCACACTCCCCACTGGCGATGTGCCCTCAACCAAGGTACATGCCCTTGACCGCAATCGAACCCGGAACCCTTGAGTCCGCAGGTTGACGCTCTATCCACTGAGCCAAACCGGTTACTGCCAATAAAAAATATATATATTTTAAAAGAAGTGTTCATGACAATATAATGTCAAGTGCAGGTAAGAAAGGTTACGAAATGCATTTAGTGTAAGTCCGCGTCTATGAACGTATATTACAGAAGAAAAAAGTGAAAAAAAAATTTTTTAAGATTGGGTCTCTCTAGAGGTTACTGCCTCCCCCCCCCCCCCCCCCCGTAATTTCCAAATGTACAGCTTACAAAGAACACGCGCTCCTTGTGTGAGCAGAAAACAAAGCAATGACTTCTAACAGTGGAATTGAAAAGTCTGGTCTCAACAGCTCAGGCCCCCAATGTTCACGTGGATCCCTGCTAGTGGGTCTCCTGAGTTGATGATTTTCGGGGGGGGGGGGGGGGGGGGAGGGGTGCCTGTGGGTGTGTTGGAAGCAGCCCTGGACTGTAGTGGGGATAGTAAGGGTGATTTGAGACTGGCAGGGCCTGGACTCTCGACTCCGAACTTGCAGTTGTCCTTCCAGCTGTGCGTGCTCTGGCTTTGGTGTAAAAGTGTGCTTGGTTGTTGTTACAGTTAGCCAGGTAGAAGGGATGAGCTCACCTCCCCACTCTGAAATAACCTTAGTGCTTCTGATGTGCGTTTTTCTAGATGTCTTTCCTATATATTTATGGGTGTATATTTTTATGATTATAGGATCATACCATATACACCGAGTGGCCAGATTATTATGCGTTCGGAGATCATCATAATCTGGCCACTCAGTGTGTTTTTGCTTTGGATACATAACAGTTTGTATCCAAATATTTCCTTTCCACTTCCTGCCGGATCATGGAGTATCTGGCACACTGTGCCATGTGACTGTGTGGTTCTGTTGACACATTAATAAGCTCCTCTGTGATGACTGATGAGATCTGTGTCCTCTGCCGCCTAGGATCAGGACCTCAGATCCCAGAAGCACTTCGTCATCAACATGACCTGCCGGTTTTGCTGGCAGCTCCCGGAGACGGACTACGAGTGCACCAACTCCACCAGCTGCATGACGGTGTCCTGTCCCCGGGCGCGCTACCCCGCCAACTGCACCGTGCGGGACCACGTGCTCTGCCTGGGTGAGTCGGGGGCCGTGGGGCCCGGGAGCGAGGCGTTTCCCTCTGAGCTCGCCTGTGGGGCCTTAACCACTCGCTTGAGAACCCAGTCCAAGTGACTTCACCAGAAGCATTCATCAGCACTTGGGAGTCCTGCCAAGCTCCATTAATACGAAAGGGAGCCATAAACACCCAGGACATTTGCCATGCTCTTATCTTGTAAAATGCAGCAATAGAACCACAAGACCACATCCGTAAGGTATGAAGTTTAACGCGCCGTCATTGGGTAGTTTATTATTTTTTAAAGAGAGGGGAAGGGAGAAGAGAGAAACAGTCGTGTGAGACCGTAACATTGATCTGCTGCCTCTTGCACGCTCCCTGCCGGGCATGCCCTCTGACCAGGAATTGAATCGTGACCTCCTGGTTCGTAGGTTGATGCTCAACCACGGAGCCCCGTCGGCCACGCCTGATCTAACATTTAAAGGTCTTTCTTTTTCTTTTTCTTTTTCTTTGATTTTTTACAGAGAGGAGATAGAGAGTTAGAAACATCAATGAGAGAGAATCGTCAATCAGCTGCCTCCTGCACCCCCCCACCTACAACCATGTCCTCCTCCTGGGGATCAAGCCCCAAACCCAGGTGTGTGCCCTTGACCGGAATCCAACCTGGGGCCCCTCAGTCTGCAGACCGATTCTCTACATACTGAGCCAAACCAGCCAAGGCAGGTCTTTCTCTTTACCACTCCCCATGGTGGGCATTGCTGTGCGGAGGCTGACTTTTAGGTCTTTAGTTACAAGGCCATTAGTGCCGTCAGGCCTCTGTGTGAGAGGATGTCTGTACCCGGGTGTCTAAACGGAGCGTTTTCTTTTTCCTGAAAGGTAACCGCACGTTTCTCAAGATGCTCTACTGCAACTGGACCGGCGGCTACAAGTGGTCCACAGCCCTGGCTCTGAGGTGAGCCGCTCCAGTGAGCTGGGGGGCCGGTGGGAATCGGTGGGGTCAGTGGAACCTTCCAGACACGGAGCTCAGACCCGAGGAGGCGGCTGTGGGAGGCGTCCGGGGGTCAGAGCAGCCCTTTGTGGAGTTTGGCAGGAAGCCTGCACCTGCCTCAGCTGAGTCGTTCCAGAGCATCAGAGCCACCGAGGGTCCCCAGCCTGATGTACCTACCGCGAGCCAGTAAGCCCTGCGTACTGACTGCAACAGGCGATTTAACTGTTTCCTTTATTATAAAAGTACCACATGCTCCATAGTGAGCGCCGGGAAGGTGAGAGTGACCAAAGGAAAACTAAAGCCACCTATCACCCGGCATCCTGAAATAATTATAGATTTATATTTTTACACACTTGTATTTGTCCAACTCCGCCAAGGACCCGAGATGGAAAATATTTGGAGTTGCAAAGCGTGTGCTAGTCCTGTGACCCCACAGAGGGCTGGGGTCTGGAGATGGGGCGGTGGGAGGCGTGTGGTGGATCCGGTCCTGTTTGTCCTTCCAGCATCACCCTCGGCGGCTTCGGCGCGGACCGGTTCTACCTGGGCCAGTGGAGGGAAGGCCTGGGCAAGCTCTTCAGCTTCGGCGGCCTGGGCATCTGGACGCTGATCGACGTGCTGCTGATCGGGGTCGGCTACGTGGGGCCCGCGGACGGCTCCCTCTACATTTAGCGGCGTCCGTGCTCCTGGAAGGCCTTGGCCCGGAGGAAGGGTGACACGGTGTGTTTTTAATGTACAGTATCTGTACTCGGCCTGCCTCGATGAAGGTAAAGTTAAAGAAGGAAACACTGGACCATGCTTCTCTGGAATTCGCTTTCATTTGCCTGAATGTATTTTTTTTTCTGTGAAAAAAAACGGACTCATTGGACTAGAGGAACACGCTGCAGCGATTGGAAATGGATTTCATTCCCAGGGCTTCATTTTCTGTTGCTCAAGTCCACGTGTACCCCCGGCTCTCGGCCTGCAGAGCCTCTCAGCTGTGACGTGCGAAGTGGGCGGTTCATTCTTTAGCCCCGTGAGTGACCACCCGCACTTCTGTGCCCCGTGAGTTGTGCGATGTCGTACATATGTCTGGTCTTCGTCTGTGACTGTTTAAAGTGACCTAGAGCTTCCAGATCTGGAGACTGGTTTGAACCTGATTAGTGATGTAAAAGGTTGTGCGGGGACGGAAGAGTTAATAAAGTTATAACTGGCTTTAAGAAACATTAGAGGCTGTTTTCTGTATTAATAGATCATCTTGAGTAATTGAAGAAGCTTTACCATTAAGAGGTAAAATGTGCTCTCGTTTGTTTGGCCTGGGGACTGAAGGGTCCCGGGTTCGATTCCATTCCGGTCAAGGACACATGCCCGGGTTGCAGGCTGGATCGCCAGTGTGGGGCGCGCAGGATCAATGATTCTCTGTCATCATTGATGTTTCTCTCTCTCCCTGTTTCTGAAATCAATTTAAGCAAGAAAAGCTATTTAACATATACACACACACACCACACACAAACACACATTTTTTATTGATTTCCAGAGAGAGAGGAAGAGAGAAATACCGATGTGAGAGCAAAACATCCATTGGCTGGCTCCTGCACGCCCCCCCACTGGGAATGGAGCCCCAGCCCACCTGGGAATCAAACCGGCATCCTTTCCATGAACGGGACGACGCCCTACCAACTGAGCTACACCGACCATGGCAGGAAAGGCAATTATTAATCCAAAATGGATTTTACAAAGGTTTCTTAGAAAACGGCATTTTCCTTCGGACTGGGGCACCTGTGAACAAGGAGAAGGGGTAACCAGCCTGTCAGGTTTGGGAGCTGGGAAGTGGTTTTGGAGAATATCTCCGAGAATCTCATGGGGTTTTCTTCACCAGGTATTTGTTGCCCTTTACCTGTAAGGGGACTGTGGGCACCTCGCCCTTGAAGATCTGCTCAGGTGTATCTTGGTGTCACCGAGTTGCAGTTCCAGCTCCGGCCACTAGGTGGCGCATCCCCTTTACATTTGAGCCTTGAGATCAGCTGATCAGAGGGGGGGACACACAGCGCCCAGGGCTCTGGCCTTTTGCCATTCCTTTTATTGAGATTCTGAGAAAAGACATCCCTTGGGCAGAAAATTCCAACAACAGAAAGTCCACAAGAATTTACATACATGATTAACAAATTAAAGTTGCCTCAACTACCACTATCTCAACTAGACAATGAGTTAATAGCTCCGACCATTCAGAGCCATCAAGGTTGGCCAGCTCCCTTCACATTTTACTAACAGTGACAATGTTGGGTTTCTGGCAGTGAGCATCTATCGCCATCAGAATATCATACCATCGTGTACAATCCGTGAGCTGTTACCTAACCCGAATAGAAGCAAGGTGTCTGGCGGGCATGGCTCAGGGGTTGAGCATCAACCTAGGAACCAAGAGGTCACAGTTTGATTCCCGGTCAGGGCACAGGCCCAGATTGCAGGCTCAATCCCCAGCGTGGGGCCTGCAGGAGGCAGCCGATCCATGGTTCCCCCTCATCATGGGTGTTTCTCTGTTTCTTCCTCTCTTTCTCTGAAGCCCCTGTTGTCACTGCCTTGTGCCTGGGACCCTCCAGTGGCCTCTCACCCACTGTGTCCCTGTGGCCTGTCCAGCTCACACACAGACCCTGTCACAGAGGCTCCTGCGTCGCTCTGCTGTGCCAAATCTTCACCCAACCCTTCCCAGCTCCCTGGCTCCCACCGAGACAGCCTCAGCCCCTCTGAGGGTGACAGGCCAGCGTGACCCACCCTGCCCCTCAGGGATGTCACCCCCTGGCCCTGCTCCCCACGTGGCTACCTCTACCCTCAGGGCCCGCTGCCCCCTCTGGGGCTCCCGACCTCATTTCCTGCGTCTCTCACATGTCACCAGGAGTGGAGGGGCCCACCCACCCCACCCAACCAGCCAGCCACCAGCCAGCCACCGCCAGACCATGTAATTGCCGCCTCCCAGGGCCCCTCTGTCCTCTTTTCCTGCTGCATGTGCCTCTCCATCACGTCTCGTTTCATTAAATGCCCTGTTTAGCTCTCTTCCTTTGGAAGGCAGCCCGCAGGGTCCTTCTCTAATAAAGCCTCTGTCCTGGTTAAAAAAAAATAAAAATAAATAAAATAAATGCCCTGTTTACGTCTGCCTCCCCCGGGAGAGCTTAACAGAATGTCCACCCGGGGAGAACAGGGTGTGGGCTGTGTCCCTCCCGCCTGCGTCCCCAGGGTCCCGTTCCCTCCACCACAGCGCTGCTGAGCTGCTGAGCCAGGGAGCCGTCGGCTCAGAGCCGCTGCCCCGCTCCCTGCCAGGCGCCCGCGTCCCAGGGCCCACGCACCCAGGGCACATCCACGGGGAACAGGCAGGCCAGTCCGCATCCGAGAGACCCGACCAAGTGATGGGTGGCCCCTCAGCACGTCCACAGGGGACAGCGTCCAGGGCTCTGCGTTCTAAGAGGCCCTTGGAGCCGGGCTGGGGCCCTGCAGGTGCGGCTTCGTGGCTGAGCATCAACCTAGGAACCAGGAGGTCTCGGTTTGATCCCCGGTCAAAACACAGGCCAGGGTTGTGGGCTCGGTCCCCAGAGTGGGGCGTGCGGGAGGCAGCCGATCCATGGGTCTCTTTCATCGTGGGCGTTTCTGTTTCTCTCTCCCTCCCCCTTCCTCTGTGAAATCAATTCAAATATATTTCAAGAAAATTTTAAAAAGGAACAAATGGGCCCTCAGGATCGCAGGGCCGAGGTGCGGGCAGACAGGAGCCTTCCCTGCCGCCTGGGGGTCTCCTTCTCCTCTGCCCGGAGCCAAACGCTGGCGGATCCCCCCAAAAAAAGCTGGTCTCTCCCAGCCTCGCGGGCCACGTGGCCACAGCGGCTCCCGCGCCAGGACCACGGACAGCGCACAGCCCACGGCCACGTGCCCCGCCCGCAGCAGGTGCTCCTGCGGCCACCGAGGGAGGAGGGCGTGTGATGGACATTGGAACAGGACCTTGTCTTTGCCAATAAAGCAGGGATAAACCCCACTCCGTTCCCCAAGAACCGAGCTCGTGTGTGTGTGTGTGTGTGTGTGTGTGTGTGTGTGTTTTAGAGAGAGTGGAAGGGAGGAAGACAGGGAGAGGCATGGATGCGAGAGAGACACATCCATTGGTTTTCTCCCTCACGTGGCTCAAACCAGGGCTGGGGATGGAGCCTGCAACCCATGTACGTGCTTTATTTATTTTTTTAAAATATATTTTTATTGCCGAAACCGGTTTGGCTCAATGGATAGAGCATCGGCCTGCGGACTGAAAGGTTCCGGGTTCGATTCCGGTCGGGGGCGTGTACCGTGGTTGCGGGCACATCTCCAGTAGGGGGTGTGCAAGAGGCAGCTGATGGATGATTCTCTCTCATCGATGTTTCTAACTCTCTATCCCTCTCTCTTCCTTTCTCTGTAAAAAATCAATAATTATATATATATTGATTTCAGAAAGGAAGGGAGAGAGAGAGAGAGAGAGAGAAACATCAATGGTGAGAGAGAATCATGGATCGGCTGCCTCCTGCGGTACACCCCCTGCTAGGGATTGAGCCGACAACCCGGGTATGTGCCCTTAACCAGAATCGGACCTGGGACCCTTCTGGTTTGCACTGAACCAAACTGGCCCGGGCATCTTTTTAAAAATTTTTTTTTAAACTTTTTTCTTTTATAAAAAGACTTCTATCCCGCAGCCCCTGCCAACAGTCCCGCCTGCCACCTGTGGGACGGCCTGTCCCAGGTCCCTGCCAGCCCCAGGGTGACCCAGGCGACCTTCAAACCCACTCTTCACTCTCCGGGCCTCGGGCGCCTGCCGGGGCGGCCGCCAGGGATCCTGCAGCTGAGGCTTCTACGAACCACGAGGTCACCGTGCAGGACGCCCGAGCCCAGCCCCGCCGGAGGCCGCAGGACGCAGCTGCCCCGGTCGGTGACGCGGGCCCCGGCTCCCTCGCCAGCAGCCACCTCCCCGGCCCAGCTGCAGGGCTGGGTTTCCTGCAAACCGCGATGCTGGAGCTGGGCCGCCCGCCCCGTGACCGGCCGTGTTTATCCTCCTCGCCGACCCCAGGGACGGCCGTGGGCCTCCCGCCCCTGCCCCCGCCGCCCGCCCGAGGTCTGAGCCGCTGCGGTTCCCCCAACGCCAGACGCGCCAGCAGCTGGGCGTCCCCTGAGGACACCCCCGCACCCCAGCCCGTCCCCCCGCCAAGCCTGGAGCCATCTGCAGGGTTTGCTAATCTCTCCCGTAAACAGTTGTTTTCCCAGCGTTAAATATTAACAGAGCGAGCGGCTCAGCAGCCGCGTTTTAAATATTGAAGTCACCGCCGCCGTGCTGTCCCAACGCGACCCACCCCCCCGCAGACCTGCTGTTCGAAAAATGGGGCAGGCTGCTCAGACACAACATGGCTTCCCACGTGGGCTGGTGTGCTCACAAGCTGCCCCTGGCAGAACGTGTTTCTGGCCCTGGCCAGTGTGGCTCAGCGGATAGAGCGTCGGCGTGCGGACTGAAGGGTCCCGAGTTCGATTCCCGGTCAGGGCACAGGCCCGGGTTGCAGGCTCGATCCTCAGTGTGGGGCGTGCAGGAGGCAGCCGATCCATGATTCTCTCTCCTCGTGGATGTTTCTCTCTCCCTCTCCCTCTCCTTTCCTCTCTGAAATCAATCAAAGAGAGAGAGAGAGAGAGAGAGAGAGAGAGAGAGAGAGAGTTCAAGCCGAAGGTCACTGCCCCCGACGCCCTGTTAGGTCGGGGGGGGCGGCTGGGGGCCCCCAGCCAGGAAGGATGAACTCCTTGTGAGTGATAATCACACGCTGCTGCGCTTGGTCTCGTCCAAATATTTGGAATGCAGCGGAGGCCGAGGCCGGAGCGCGGCCGGCTGTTTACCGGGATGTGCGGCTGTTGGTCATGTTAGGCCTGTGTGTACCAGACCGCTTCCCGCCCGCGGCAGCCAGGGCTTCGCAGGAAGAGGCCGTTACGATGGAAATGGTATGTTTCGGGGTTGGTTTTAAAAAAAAAATTTTTAATAAAATCCTTGGAACCAGTGGAAGGCAACAGGCAGGCAGCTGCAGGTGTGGAGCGGGGTGTTCCCCCCGCCCCCCCTGGCCCTCCAGCCCTGGGCAGAGAGGTCCATGCTGAAAAATTGCATCCCGCAGCTGGGAGACAGGAAACGGAGAAGGGCTGAGGGCAGGGACTGTGGCATCTCTGTGCTCGCCCATCCCTTCATCCGAGGG